ACACCCTACGAAGTAGTTACATGGACATACAACAGACAGTACTATTATATTTCTGTAGATATATTCGGTCATAAACCCAATAATATTTCCCAAAATTTGGCCAGATTTAGGTGAATCCTTAACCCATATACTAAGCTAACAATGTAAAATAATCCTCCTAAATGTAAAATGATAATAACGCTATTAAAAGGTGTCTTAAACATTATAGAAAACAATATTAATGCAAAAAACTTCAAATTTTAATGTTAAAACCACAATTGTGAATAACATTAGCTTGGTAGTTCCGCAGAGTCCCCAAAAGTGTTCTGTTTCAAGAGTAAATGCAAAAAGATAGGAGAAGTATCCAAGTTATAGGAGTCTGAGATGGATAGGAGAAGTATCCAAGTTATAGGAGTCTGAGATGGATAGGAGAAGTATCCAAGTTATAGGAGTCTGAGATGGATAGGAGAAGTATCCAAGTTATAGGAGTATGAGATGGATAGGAGAAGTATCCAAGTTATAGGAGTCTGAGATGGATAGGAGAAGTATCCAAGTTATAGGAGTATGAGACGGAAAGGAGAAGTATCCTAGTTATAGAAGTCTGAGATATGGATCGTTCGGATAGGATAAGTATCCAAGTTATAGAAGTTTGAGACATCGATCGTCAAGTGAAAAAATAATAACCTTCTATGGGGGGTAGGAAAAGATGGACTGAAGAACAAATTGGGAGAAGTAGAAGTGGGTGGTAATTATAGTATCACAGATCAAATACGCCACGGTAGTCTCTTTGCTAGAACAATCAAATTACTAGCAGTTTCCTGAAGACACCCAGGCTGCTCAAGAACCACAGAATCTCTGGCATACTGAGATTCTCGAAACAAAACACGAGGTTGGTGTGTCAGGGAAATAACTTTATGTGGTAAAGGGGGTTTTATATGGACGGTAACAAACAATTGGAATCTTTTTAGAACAGGCCAAAGAAATGGAAGAGGAAAGAGTACAAGCTAAATAATCCATATCCTCAAATGTGAAGAGTTTTGAATCAATGTCACAAAGTGCGCTATCACTAAATAATCCATATCCTCAAATGTGAAGAGTTTTGAATCAATGTCACAAAGTGCGCTATCACTAAATAATCCATATCCTCAAATGTGAAGAGTTTTGAATCAATGTCACAAAGTGCGCTATCACTAAATAATCCATATCTTCAAATGTGAAGAGTTTTGAATCAATGTCACAAAGTGCGCTATCACTAAATAATCCATATCCT